AAGTATAATTTTGCTGTATAAAAATTTTAGGTTGGTGAGGTTTTTTGTTTGTTTGTTTGCTTTGAACACATTAAATATTTCACTCCATTCTCTTCTTGCTTGCATGGCTTATGAAGAGAAGTCCTACGTAATATTTTACCTGTTCCTCCACAGTTAAGGTGGGTTTTTCTCCCTCTGGCTTCTTTCCAAATTTTCTCTTTGTCTTCGATTTTCTGCAATTTAAATATGTCTAGGTATAGACTTTTGGGTATGTATCCTGCTTCACGTTCTCTGAGCTTTCTCTACCTGTGGTTTGGTTTCTGTTATTAATTTTTGAAAATTCTCAGCCTATATTACTTCAAATATTTATTTTTCCCTCCATGTCTCCTTATTCTGCAATACATCTGGTATTCCCATTACGAGTATGTTATACCTTTGATTTTTGACAGTTTTTAAAATACCCTGTTCCACTTTTTTCGTTATTTTTCCCTTTGCCTTTCAGTTTGGGAAGTTTCTATTGCCATATCTTCAAGTTCACTGATTTCTTTCTTTGGCTGTGTCCAGTCTACTATGGAGCCCATCAAAGGCATTCTTAATTTCTGTTATAGTGCTTTTGATTTATAACATTTCATTTTGATTATTTCTTAGAGGTTTATCTCTGCATACATTATGTATATGTTCTTTCATGTAGTCTACTTTTTCACTAGGGCCCTTATTATATTATAGTTATTTTAAATTCCCAGTTTGAAAATTCCAAAATTTCTGCCACATCTGCATCTGGTCTTGATGCTTGCTTTGTGTCTTCAGCCTGTGTGTTTTGCTTTTATCATGCCTTATAATTTTTTGTTTAAAGCTAGACATGATATATCAGGTAAAAGAACTGAAGTATATACGTTTTATTATGATGTTTTATGTTCAACTGGAGACGAGTTAGACTGTGTTTTCTGTTTTATTGTAGCTGGTGTCACAGGCTAAATTTTCCTTTAGTTTCCTTTTTTGGTCTCCCCTATTGTCTTTGGCTTTCCCTAGAAAATACTTCTTTAATGGAAGCTGAGAATTGCAGTTTTTCCATCTGTAACCCATTATCCATGGGCCTTGGTGAAGTGGTGGTAAGGTATGTGGGAGCAGAAAAGCATTCTATAATCCTATGATTAGATCTTGGTCTTTTATTGGCAGTCTCCTCTGGTCTGTGACTTTCACAATTGCTTCTCAGCTTGTTTCCCCCAGAAAAGAGATTCTTGATTCTTTTAAATTCTTGATTCTTCAAGATTCTTTAGACAGAAAGGCTAAAGAAGGCTGGACTTGGATATCTCCCTTCCCCAATGTTTAAAGTCCAAGAGGCTGGAGTTTGGTATTTCCTTTACCTCACATCTGTTAGGTTCTAGTAAAGTAGTTTTTCTTGAAGGCAGGCCTTTGTTAAGAAGAATGCTATTGGTGTATTTCAAATGTTTATTTTTCTCCTCCCTTTGCTGAAAGCATGAGTAGATTTTATTTCTGATACTCAGCTAAGGTACCTGGTAGGGCTCCTGGAGGCAAATTTCATGAAAGTGTATGGCATATCCAAGGCTGTGTCCTAGAACTTTTTTATTGCTCAACCTAGTTCATGTTCAGTTTCTGGCAATTATTCAATTATTCTTAAGTTTTCCTCCTAATTGCTGGCTCCAGTGTTGGTTTCTATTCTCAGGAGTATGTAATTTTCAGTATTCATCTATCTCCACAGATTGAGAGTGGCAGTTTGCCCTGTGACTTCAATTCTCTGACGGGGCTAAGAAGAGTTGTTGACTGTCAGTTTTTTCAGCTTTTATTGGTTTGGAGTGCAGAAGTGAGGACTTCCAAGTTCTTTACATGTTAAAGTGGAAGACAGAAGTCTTGCATATCTTTAAAAAATAATTATTCCTAGATTTTTTATTTGTTTTGGTGCTAATACAAAATTTCATCATTCCTAAAAAATGTTCATTTTCTAATTTTGTGTTCTTAGTATATAGAAATAAAACTGGGTTTTATACATTTTTACTTTATATTCAGTAATTTTAATAAATCCAGTTGATTAAGAGTTTATCTGTAGACTACAGATTCTTTTAGATTACATACCTGCACAGTTACATCGTCTGCAATTTATGAGTTTTATTTCTTTCTTTGAATGCTTACAAGTTTTATTAATTTTTTGTAATAACTATGGTTGCCAGTACAAAAATGAGTAGAAATAGTGATAATACACGTTTATCTCATTCCCAATATTGGAGGAAATATTTTACTATAAAATTGCTAAAATTCTTTTGTATTTTTTAAAGATACAAATGTCAAATAAGGAAGTATTATGAAGAGTGTTTTACTGAGATTTAATGATTTTTTTTCCTTATTCTATAAATATAATGCTTTTTATTCCTGTAAAATTGGCAGTAATGTTCCCAATTTCTATTCTGATTTAATAGCGTGAGTCTTCTTTCTTTTTTCTTCAACAGTCTAGTTAAAGTTTTGTCAATTTTGTTGATCTAATGTGAGTCTCTTATGGATAGCATATAGTTGGATATTTTTTTTTTATCCATTCTGTCAATCTCTGCCTTTTGTTTAGAAAGTTTAATCCATTTATATTTAAGGGACTTATTTATGCCATTTTGCTATTTGTTTTCTGTGTTTCTTATTTTTTTTTTGTTCTTCATTTCCTCTAATACTGCCTTCTTTTGTGTTCAATTGATTTTTTTTGGCTGTGTCATGCAGCATGTGGGATCTTAGTTCCCCAACCAGAGATCAAACCCATGCCCCCTGCATTGGAAGCACAGATTCTTAACCACTGGATGGCCAGCGAAGTCTGTCAATTGATTTTTTTAAGGGACTAGTTTTGTTTCCTTTCTCATTTCCTTTGTGTATATTCTACAGATATTTTCTTTTTGGTTACCAAGAGGATTATGTACAACATCGTAAAGTTATAAAAAATCTAGTTTAAATTGATGCCAATTAACTTCAATAACATCCAAAAGCTGTACTCCTATACGGCTCAATTCCTCTCTTTTTGATACTGATGTTATGAATCGTATCTTTACACACTGTGTGCCCAATAACATAGACTTATAATTATTTTTCTTTAAACTATTATATAAAATTAAAAGTAGAGCTCCAAACTAAAATTACAATAATACTGGCTTTTATATTTGCCATGTACTTACCTATACCGTAGATCTTTCTTCATACAACTTCAACCTACTGTCTAACATCCTTTCACGTCAACCTCAGGGATTTCCTTTAGCATTTTCTATAGAGCAGGTCTAGTGGTAATCCCTTCGATGCTAGGAGTGCTCCTATTCTTTGTAGATTTTTTTTGTGCTGGGCACTGCTTCACATTTCCACAAAATTTTCTTACCAGTTTGAAGATGGCTTTTTCTTAATTGTGCATTCTCTTGGTTACTGTAAACATTTCACTGTTTCCCAGTACTCTGACAAAGTTGGTTCTGATGGCTTTCTGCTTTTTGTTTTTCTTTTCTTTTTTTTTTTTTTTTTTTTGCAGTACACGGGCCTCTCACTGTTGTGGCCTCTCCTGTTGCGGAGCACAGGCTCCGGACGCGCAGGCCCAGCCGCTCCGCGGCATGTGGGATCTTCCCCGACTGGGGCACGAACCCATGTCCCCTGCATTGGCAGGCGGACTCTCAACCACCGTGCCACCAGTGAAGCCCTCTTTTTTTTTTTTTTTTTTTTTAATGTTTCTGTCAGGGAGCAAGAGCTTAGGGCCTCCTACTCTGCCATTTTGCTGACATCTGCTTTAAAGTGGTTGTTTGAAAGCTGCTACAGAACACTTAAATTTATCTTACTGCAAAGTACTTAAGTACTTAGTCCTTTGGCCACATCAGCTTTAACATAGTTTTTCTTTTGGCTGTGCTGCATGGCTTGTGGGATTTCAGTTCTCTAAACAGGGACTGAACCCAGGCCATGGCAGTGAAAGCCCTGAATCCTAATCACTAGGCCACCAGGGAATTCCCTAGCACAGGTTTTTTAACTATTAGAAATTTGCCAACTTTGTGATAGGAAGATCACAAAACAGCCATATTGCCTATCTAGTGATAATTCCATTTTTTCATTGTCTTATCATAAAAGATGATATAAGTAACGAAAATTGTGTTCTCTGAGGAACTGATAATATAGCGTCTAGTCTATGTCGTGAAAATTCATAATGTAGGGAAAAGCCTATATATATATTTTTTATGAGCAGATAAACTCTTAAGCATTACCTAATTAATGTTTGTTTGGTGGAGTAATGAGCACATGATAAATTCTTTTAAAATACATATTAATTGGACTTCCCTGGTGGCGCAGTGGTTGAGCGTCCGCCTGCCGATGCAGGGGACACGGGTTTGTGCCCTGGTCCAGGAAGATCCCACATGTGGCGGAGCGGCTAGGCCCGTGAGCCATGGCCGCTGAGCCTGCGTGTCCGGAGCCTGTGCTCCACAACGGGAGAGGCCACAACAGTGAGAGGCCCGTGTACCACTAAAACAAACAAACAAAAAAAAAAGATACATATTAATTGATATATCGATTGGTTAATAAAATAATGAAATTATTACAGTTGTCCCTCGGTATCTGCAGGGGATTAGTCTCAGGATCCCCTGTGGATGCCAAAACCTGAAGATGCTCAAGTCTCTTGCATAAAACAGTGTAATGTTTTCCTATAACCTATGCACATTCTCCTGTATACTTTAAATCATCTCTAGGTTACTTATAATACCTAATACAATGTAAATGCTATATAAATACCCATAAATGCTATGTAGATAGTTGCCAGTGCATGGAAAATCCAAGTTTTGCTTTTTGGAACTTTCTGAAAATTTCTTTTCAGAATATTTTTGATCTGTGGTCAAGTGAATCTGTAGATGTGAAACCCATGGATACAGAGGGCCAACTGTATTAAATTGAGAAAGGTTGTCCTATGTTTGAATTTCTTGCTTTCTTTTAATAACTGTACTACACAGTTGAAATACTTTAACTCTTAGTAACTGTTCTGCTGTGCCCAAACATTATAAATCTCTACTTACCTACCACTTTGTTTAAACCTAATTGAAATATTAGGTCATTAACTGATGGATTCACTGCTGGAAGATTTTCTGCTGTATCTGGATGTTCTGAGGCTGCTTCATTTTTAACTGTAATAATAATAGATTGCCAGATTAGTTGATTTAGAACTAACATTTTGTTGGGGTAAAATTATAAAGTTAATAAGAGCGATTTACCGTATAATTATTTAATTTTGTTTAATTAACAATTTAACATACTGCTTATTCAATTAAATACAAATATGTCTAAAAATTTTTAAAAATTTACTAGCTACTAGTTGCCAGATATTATTATATCTGTACTTTTCAAATATTATCTCATTTAATCCTCATAAGAATTCTAGGAAGTAGGTATTTTTATTCTCATTTAACAGATGAGGAAAATAGAGCTTAGAGAGACTATGCATATTTTGGAAGGTCACTTAGTTATTAAGCACAAAGTTTGAAATGAATTTTGTTCCTTTAGACTCTAAAACCTACACTCTAGCTAGTAAACTCAAATGTCTACTGAGATTGAGAATGTAATATGAGTGAAATAAACCTGATGATGTTTGGAGTGGCATGAATAGCAGAAATGAAATGGAGAGTACAGGCATACCTCATTTCATTGTGCTTCACCTTTACTGCACTTTGCAGATACTGCGTTTTTCACAAATTGAAGGTGTGTGGCAACTGGGCATGGAGCAAATCTATCAGCGCCATTTTTTTTTTTATTGGAGTATAATTGCTTTACAATGGTGTGTTAGTTTCTGCTTTATATTTCAGTGCCATTGTTTTTTTAACAGCATTTGCTTACTTCATGTCTCTGTGTCACATTTTGGTAGTTCTGGCAATACTTCAAATGTTTTCATTTTTATTATATTTGTTATGGTGATCTGTGATCAGTGATCTTTGATGTTACTATTGCAAAAAGATTACAATTCGCTGAAGACTCAGATGATCGTTAGCAGTTTTTAGCAATAAGGTATTTTTAAATTAAGGTATGTACATTTTTTTAGACATAATGCTACTGTACACTTAATAGACTACAGTATAGTGTAAACATAACTTCTATATGTACTGGAAAACGAAAAATTTGTGTGACTCAATTTATTGTGATATTCACTTTACTGCAGAGGTCTGGACCGAACCCACAATATCTCTGAGGTATGCCTGTACATATCTTATATAAAGTTATTACTCCCATTGATTGTTACAAATGTAGGTCTGAGGTTCCTGGGTCATCTAAATTCGCAAGAGAACCTAGAAAGGTAGTTAGTTACAAGAACTCCAAGATTTTAAAATATCTGCAAGTAATTAAAAAGTTTTAAGCATGTTCGTAGGATAAAACAAATCATCAATTATTGACACAAGAGAATTACCTAACTTGGGAAAGGATTAATTCTAACACGTGGGTGGGATTTGAAAGCCAATAACTGGTTATATTTCTTTGGAAAACATCATCATTTATCCACCAATATATCTCTATCATCTAGGAACAGAAATAAGATTTAAAATCTAGATTAAATTGGTACTTTCAAAAGAAGAAAAAAAAAAAGATATGCCAGGAAAAAAATGGAAAGAACAATTAAAAATTAAAATGTGCAATTAAATTAATCACTTTTGAAAACTGCCAAGAACAAATATTTTCATGGGTAGAATTCTTCATAAATCTTAAAGAATTAAATCCTATGCTATAGCACATAAAAATGGAATTTTCTATTTCTTTCACAAGGTCAAAAATACAGTAGTCCCCACTTATCTGCAGTTTCAGTTATCCGTGGTCAACCCTGGTCCAAAAATGTTAAACAGAAAATTCCAGAAATAAACAATTAATAAGTTTCAAATTGCGTGCTGTTCTGAGTAGGGTAATGAACTCTCACACTGTCCTGCTCTGTCCTGCCTGGGACACGAATCATCCCTTTGTCCAGCGTATCCATGCTGTATATCCTGCCCATTAGACACTTAGTAGCTATCTTGGTTATCAGATTGAGCGTCATAGTATTGCAGTGCTTCTGCTATAGTAACCTTTATTATACTAATAATGACCTATTGACCATCAAATAAATTATGGACAGGAAACACAGGAAAAGACACAGTATATACAGGGTTCAGTACCATCTGGTGGTTCTCAGGCATCCATTGTTTTAAAGTATTTCATATAATTCCCACAATTATTTTGTGAGGTACATACTATTACTAGCCCTATTTTTCAGATGAAGAAACTGAAACATGGAGAGATTAACTAGCTTACACAGTTAGTGAGAGACAGAGGTAGGCACCAAAGACAGGCAGTCTATTTCCAGCATCCGTACTTTTAAACACTACCCCTACCATTACCTCTCATAAGAAGATAGGCATCTCCTAATGGAAACAACACAAATATTCATCCACAGGAGAATGGGCAAATTAATTATAATATATTCATAAACCAGGTCAATATACAGCAATAAAAATAAATGAATAAGGACTAGAATTATCAACAGTGATCTTGAACCTAAAAAGCAAGTTGCTTAAGAAAGCATACAGCATACCACAAACAAAACAATAGCATAAATCCTTTACAGATGAAAACATACCTAACAAAAGTATAAAGGAATATATATGGTAATGATAAACATCTAATTCAGAACAGAAGGAGGCAATAATCTGAGAGGAATAGAGAGGGTCGGACTTCAATATTTAACGTATATTATATTCATTAAACTGGGAAACAGACACACAAGTGTTCATTACATTAACTCTTATCATACCTTTCTATATTTCAAAATAAAAGTAACAGAAACAACCTAAAACACCTAGGTTTTATTTGGTTCTCTTTCACTTGAAAATATTCTTTTTTTTAAATTAATTTTTATTGGAGTATAGTTGCTGTACAATGTGTTAGTTTCTACTGTATAGCAAAATTAATCAGTTATACATATACATATATCCCCTCTTTTTTGGATTTCCTTTCGATTTAGGTCACCACAGTGCATTAAGTAGCGCTTCCTGTGCTACACAGTATGTTCTCATTAGTAATCTATTTTATACATAGTATCAATAGTGTAGATATGTCAATCCCAATCTTCCAATTAAGAAGCACAAAGATAAACCAAATCTTCTGTTACACTAAGTCAAAAATCCAAATAAAAATTTTCCAATCTTTCTAATAATGTCCATTTTTCCTCAAATCCATTTTTTAAGCAAACAGAAAAAATAAACAGATAAATTTATTTAAAATATACAACAAAAAAATACACTAATATCAAAGAACTATAGTAGAAAATATATAATGATATCAAGAGTAAGATCCAGTAGATAAAAAACAAATGTTCCTTTTCTCTTCTTGAAACCATATAACAATATAAAGAATAGGTCTACTGGATAATAACAAATATTTTTAGCAGATAATGTACTTGATAAGAATTGAAATGTGAATGCTGGATATAAGTCATACTTTTAAAAATGAAATAACTGTAATAGCTCCATAAGATTCCTAGAAAAGCATGTCCTAAACTTGTTCTCTATGAAACACTGCTCCATAAAAAGAGAAAGGCAAGGTTTCTTGCTCAATAAATTTAAGAAATACAGTATAATAATTAGAATATTAAAGACTACAAGAAGGAATGGGGGGTGCTAATATCATTACAGCATTTATTAGTTCTGCAGAATTCCAGTTTTTGTTAAATTGTATTCTAAAATATCTAACCTAAGGAAAAAATTCAACTATAAAACATAAATTAATTGATGCACATTTAAAATATATTTTTAAATTGTCAAGTATTCTATGATGACTTGTAAAATATGTTTATCAATATCATTCATACCTCTCAATTTTTGAGACTCATAAACTCCACTTGTTTGCATTTTATCCTTGTATCCTTTAGCTAGTACTAGATCTTCAAGCATAAAATTCTCATCTGAGAGTTCATTCGCATCTTGATCTACCAAGATGAAGAAAACTTTCAGTAAACTAAATACAGAAACACTACTGAAAACCACATACTGCAGCCTAATTCCAAGAAGATTATAATGTCTAGAGGTTAGGAAGATATTCTTACATCAAGTGAGAAGAGAAAAATGATTACTCAGTAAATATCAGAAGTTCATTTAATAGATTTCAATATCTACTCTTGATAAAACTCTGTGAAAAATTAGAACTATAGATATACTCCTAGACATTACTCTCTTAATATAGAATATATTTCTGTCTCAATCCAACAGATAACACCTTGATTTATGGTGAAGCACCAAAAAATATTCTTATTAAAATTGTAAACAAAACCAGAATGTGAATCATTATCATTTTAACAATTACCTAGTTCTGGTAAAGTTGGTATGATAAATATATGGAGCAGAAATTATGATGAAACTATAGAAGAAAATGTAGGGAAGAAGCTCCTTGACGCTGGTGTTGGGAATGATTTTTTATTTTTTTTTAATATATAACACCAAAAGCGCAAACAACAAAAGAAAAACTCAACAAATGGGACTACATCAAAGTTAAAACCTTCTGCACAGTAAAAGAAACAACTAATATAGTGAAAAGGCAATCTTTGGAATGGGAGAAAATTTTGGAAACCATGTATCAGATAAAGAGTTAATATCTAAAATATATAAAGAATTCATACAGCCTAATAACAAAAAACCAAACAATCCAATTGAAAAATCGGCAGAGAACTAACAAGTTATTTTTCTAAAAAAGACAACTGGACTTCCCTGGTGACGCAGTGGTTAAGAATCTGCGTGCCAATGCAGGGGGCACAGGTTTGATCCCTGGTCCAGGAAGATCCCACATGCCCCGGAGCAACTAAGCCCATGCGCCACAACTACTGAGCCTGCACTCTAGAGTCCACGAGCCACAACTATTGAGCCCACATGCCACAACTACTTAAGCCCGTGCACCTACAGCCCATGCTCTGCAACAGAAGCCACTGCAATGAGAAGCCCGTGCACTGCAACGAAGAGTAGCCCCCACTCGCTGAAACCAGAGAAAGCCTGTGTGCAGCAATGAAGACCCAACGCAACCAAAAATAAAATAAATTGAAATAAATAAATTTAAATAAATAAATAAGACAACCAAATGGCCAACAAATATGTGAAAAGATGATCAACAATATTAATTATCAGAGAAATGCAAATCAAAGCTACAATGAGATATCATCTCACACATGTTGGGATGGCTATCATCAAGAGAACAAGAGATACAAGTGCTGGCAAAAATATAATGAAAAGGGAATCTCTGTACACTGCTACTGGGAATGTAAATTGGTCTACCCACCATGGAAAACAATATGGAGGTTCCTCAAAAAATTAAAAATAGATCTACCATCTGATTCATCAATTCCGCTTCTAAGTACATACCCAAAGGAAATAAATACAGGATTTTGAGAAGATATATGTACTTATATTTTTATTGCAGCATTATTCACAACAGGAAGATATGGACACATCCTAAGAGTCCATCAGTGGATGTGGATAAAGAAGATGTGGTGTATATATATACAATGGAGTATTATTCAGCCATGTGAAAGGAGGACACCCTGCCATTTGAGACAACATGGATGAATCATGAGTACATTATGCTAAGAGAAATAAGTCATACAGAGAAAGGAAAATACAGTATGACATCATTTACATGTGGAATCTAAAAAAGCAAAACTTGTAAAAACAGAGAAAGAAATTGTGGTTAACCACAGGACACGGGGTGGGGTGACAGAATCAATGTTGTTTAAGAGTATACAAACGTGAGTAGTAAATAGAGATCTAATGCATAGTATAACGAATATAGACAATATTGTACTAAAATCATCAAACTTGCTAATAGGCTAGAACTTAATTATTCCAACCAATAAAATGAAAGAATAACTATGTAATGTGATACAGGTGCTAATTATCACTACAATGGCAATCATATAACAATATATAAATGTATCAAATTAACATGTTTTACACCTTAAATGTACAGTTTTATGTCAAATGTACAATAAATGAAAAACAAAAAAATGTGTACATGAAAGGCCGCTAAATCATAAATAATAGAGTTTAAATCATACAGGATGTTGAAATGTTAAAATAATAGTAGTGAGAGGACTTCTATTTCTTGTATGACATGTAAAGTGCTTGGAAGTCACTACTTCCACTCTCACAATAAGAAAAAAGCCTAGCAAACTTTTTAAATTAAACATTTTTTTTCTTATCAAAGTCAAGGCAAAATGCTGCCCCCCAAATTGGAGAGAGAGGTGGATAAAAGAAGCATAGTTTATTGGCAGCTGAACCCCAGGAGCAGAAGCCCACTACTGAAGTCAGGATTAGTAGGAACACTTAAACTGTGATTGATGAATTGCTGAAAGTTCAGTATATACTAGCTTGAATCTTACTGGTACCCCAACGTTACTATGAGTTTCATGTCTAGGAAACCCAACCAGGTTCTCAGGATGAAGATCAGAGGAAAATTGCCACATGCTTCCAACAGGGGGAGGGGAAAGTAACTGTTTTTAATCATGCCCAGAGCTTTCTGTTCTCCTTAACAAAAGACTGCCCTCAAGGGAATCTATTTTACCAGAGCTTAACCAAAAGACGGTTTACCAGAACCTAACAGACCTTAGGGAAGGGAAATGTTCAACATGGGGGTGAGCAGATATAAAATTTCAGCCCCTTCTAGCCTTCCTGCCTTACCAAACAAGTAGGAGAGACATGAGAAACACTTGTGAAGGTGGAAACCTAGAGACACAGGCTTACTAAAAGACTGAGACCTAATCAGAGGATTACAGAATGCTTCCCCTTCCCTGACACCTTACCACCACATTAATAAGCCTCCTATATAATTGCAAGTTACAGCTAAAAGGACAGCAAGCCTCAGACCCTACTTAAGGAATCTAAAGGGAAACCCAAAGATATCAGGGGAGACAAAAAAAGGGATAATACAGGAACTTTTAGCATCTGATACCTACAGCTACAGTAAACAAAAAATACAGCCTAATACCTAACCAGATAAACATGAAGCCTCACACTAAAGGCCTCTGTAAGCCTCAGTTCCTTTTACACAATACATCATGTCTGGATTTCAACAACAAAAACAACAAAAATGCAAGACACGCTAAAAGTAAAAACCTAGTCTAAAGAGTATGAGCACCAGACTCACACGACAGAGATCTTAGGTTTATCATACTGTGTATGTGAAGTAATTATGGCTAATATGCTAACAGCTCTCATGGAAAAAGAGACAGTATGCAAGAACAGAAGAGTTATGTAAGCAGAAATCTGGAATCTCTAAGAAAAACTTAAAAGGAAATGTTAGAAATCAAAAACACTGCAACAAAAATGTAGAATTTCTTTGATGTGCTCATCAGTATATTGCATACAGTCAAGGAAAGACTCAGTGAGCTTGAAGATATGACATTAGGAACTTCCCAAATTGAAAAGAGAAAATAAATGGAAAAAAAGGAACAAAATATCAGAGATCTTTTGGACAATAATAAGAGGTGTAATATACACATAATGAGGACATCAGAAGGAGAACAATGAAACAGAATAAATATTTAAATAATGGCTGAGAGTTTTCCAAAAATAATAACAGACATCAAATCAATGATCATAGGAACTCACAGAACACCAAAAAGGATAAATACCAAAAAAAAAAGCTACACCTATTTGTATCATATTCAAATTGCAGAAAATCAAAGACAAAGAGAAAATCTTGAAAGACTCCAGAGAAAAACAAAAACAAAACACAAATATACTTTATCTATAGAGGGACAAGGATAAAAATATCTTATACTTTTCATCAAACTAAGCTAGCAAAAAGAGAATGGAGAGAAATATTTAAAGTGTTGCAAGAAAAAAATAAACCAACCTAGAATTTTGTATCCAGAAAAACTATCCTTCAAAACTGAAAGAGATATAATGATTTCCTCAGATTAAAAAAAAAAAATTCGTTGCCAGTAGGCCTGCAGTGAAAGAAAATGTTAAAAGAAGTTCTTCAGAGAGAAGGAATAGGATACAGATCAGAAACCTAGATCTATATAAAGAGAATGGCATTAAAGAAGAAATAAATGAAGGTAAAATAAACTTTTCTTACTCTTAGTTGATATAACAGATAACAGTTTATTCATAATAATAATAGAAACAATGTATTCAGTGATTATAGCTTATAGGTAAGTGAAATGAATGACAACAATGCTATAAGTGACAGGAGGAAGGAATTGGGATTTCACTGTTATCAGATACCTGCACTACCCATGAAGTGGCATAGTGTTATTTGAAAGTACGCTTAGATTAGTGGTAAATGTATACTGCAAATTTTAAGACAATCACTAAAAATTTTTTTAAAGAAATATAATTGATACGCTAAGAAAGAAAAGAATACGGAATCATATTAAACATGTAGTTAAAGCCAGAGAAGGTAGGAAAAGAGTGGAAGGTGAAAAAGTACTAGGGCATTGAAGAGAAAATAGTTACAAATATGATTAATATTAAATGAAATACCGGTAATCACTTTAAATGTGAATGGTCTATTAATTAAAAGACAGAGACTGTCAGAGTGATTAAATAAACTGACCCAACTATAAGCTGTCAACAAGAAACTCATTTTAAATATAAAGATAAAGTAGACTGAAAATAAAGGGATGGAGAAAAGTGTATCATGCTAATACTAATCAAAGTAAAGCCAGAGAAGCTACATTAATCTGAGACAAAGCAGACTTCAGAGCAAGGAAATTACCAGGGGTAAAGAGAGCACTACATAATAATAAAGGGGTCAATAGCTAAGAAAACATAACAGTCTTTAATGAGTATGCACCTAACAACAGAGCAACAAAATATCAATACATGAGGCAAAAACAGAACTGCAAGGAGAAACAGACAAATCTACTTTTATACTTGCAGCTTGCAATACCATCTTATCAGTAACAGACAGATACAACAGGCTGAAAATCCATACCTTAACAAATTTAAAAGAACAGAAATCGTATGAAGTATACTCTCAGATCCCAATAGATTTAAACTATATTACTCTAATGCCAAAACTAGGCAAAGAAATATCTCTCACAAATAAGATGCAAAAATCCTCCACAAAATATTAACAAATTGAGTGAAACAATGTATAAAAATAATTATATATGATGACCAAGGAGGATTTATTCCAGGTATGCAATTCTGACTCAATATTTGGAAATCAATTAACGTAACTCAACAGACTAAAGAAAAAATCATTTGATCAATCAGAAATGCAGAAAAATTATTCAAAAAAATCCAAAATCCATTCATGATACAACTGTCAGCAAACCAAGAATAGTGCGAACTTCCTCAATTTGATAAAGGACATCTACAAAGAAACCAACAGATAACATCACACTTAATGGTAAGAAACTAAATGCTGTCATCCTCAGATTAGGAATACATCAAGGATGTTTCTTTTCACCACTCCTATCCAACATCATACTGGAACTCACAGCTAATGTAATAAGACAAGAAAAAGAAAGAAAAAGTATATAAATTGAGAAAAATAAACAAAACTATTCTTGTTGAACAACAACAGCAACAAAACTCCTGGAATTATAAGCTGGCTATAGCAAGGTTTCCAGATACAGGTTAATATACACAAGTCAATTGATTTCCTGTATGTCAGCAGTGAACAAGTGAAATTTGAAATTGAACACAATACCATTTATATTAGCACCAAAAATGAAATACTTAAGTATAACTCTTCAGACACAAGCGTCATCAAAGATATAATGTAGAGATTTTCCATGTTCATGGATAGGAAGGCTCAATATTGTTAAGCTGTTAGCTTTTTCCAACTTGATTCAATGCAATCCCAAGCAAAATTCCAATAAGCTATTTTGTGGATATTGACAAACTGGTTCTAAAGTTTATATAGAAAAGCAAAATACCTACATTAGCCAATAAAATATTGAAGAAAGAAAAACAAGGTCAGAGGACTGATGCTACCCAACTTCAAGGCTTCCTACAGAAATCAAGACAATTGGTGAAAGAATAGATAAGTAAGTCAATTGTAACAGAACAAAGAGATATAGACCTATAAAAATACAGTCAATGATCTCTGTCAAAAAAGCAAAAGCTATTCAATGGAGAAACGACAGTCTTTTCAACAAATAGTACTTATACAACTGGACAGCCAAATGCAAAAAAAAAGTGAATCTAGACCTGACACCTTACCAAGAATTAACACAGAATGGCTCATAGACCTAAATGTAAAATGCAAACTATAATTCTCCTAGATGGTAACATAGATGAACATCTAGGTGATTTTACGTTTGGTGCTGATTTTTCAGATAGAACACCAGAAGCACAATCCAAAAAAAAAATTGATAAGCTGGGTTTCATTAAGAAAAATACACACACAACTTCTGCTCTGTGAAAGACACTGTTAAGAGAGTGATAATACAAGCCACGGGCTGGGAGAAAATATTTACAGAACAGATATCTAAGATCTGTTATCCAAAACATACAAAGAACTCTTAAAACTTGACAATTAGAAAACAAATAACACAATTACAACGTGGGCAAAGATGTGAACAAATAACCTACCAAAGAAGTCATTTAGATGGCAAATAAGCATATGAAAAGATGTTCAGCATATAAATCATTAAGCAATTGTAAATTAAAACAACAGTGAGATATCACTACATACCTATAGCTAAAATTCAAACACTGAAAACAACAAATGATGTCAGGAATGTGGAGCAATGGGAAACCTGATTCGTAGCTGGTAGGAATGCAAAACACTACAGCCACTTTGAGGACGGTTTGGCAGTTTCTTACAAAGTTAAATTATAGTTTTACCATATGATCCAGCAATTGTGCTCTTAGGTACTTATCTAACAGTGTTGAAAATTTATGTTCCCACAGAAGTTATGCAGTAACCAACAGGTACTAAGTTGTTTCTACACAACTAATTAATAAACTGTTGGGCTTCTCTTGTGGTTTAGGATCATTATGAAAAAATTACTGAGACCATGCAAAACACCACGAACTTCTGTCTGAATTGTTTACAGAAGACTGTGTAAATACTTATCATAAGAAAGCAAACATGGCTATATTATTATCAAACAAAATAAACATTAGGCAAAAGAAATGTATTTTTAGAGATAAACAGTGTACTTTTACAGAGATAAACAGTGTACTTTTATAGCTCATGTTTACCAGGAAGATATAACAAGTATAAATTTGTACACATTTAATAACATCATTTCCAAATATATAAACCAATCTGGCAAAACTACCCGTAAACACAAAGAAGTCCGTAATCACAGTGGGAAAATTTAACATACATCTCTTAGTAACACAGAATAAACGAAACTTCAATGGAATTGAAAAAGAATTGACTAACACAGTAAATATATTTGATCTAATAGATTTATACAAAAGATATGAGTAAACATTCATAAACCTAAGACAGAGGGTTTTTTTTCCACTTACTTTAATTAAAAATAAATCAATAATATTGAAATTTATCGTACTTACTATTTAGTGCTTTCATTGTGACAGCTCTAAGTTTCTTAGTTTGAGATTGGCTTTTTGACAATTCAACTTCATCCTCGGGTAATACGTCTTCTGCTTTCTGAGCTACGAGAAAGATGCTTTTAATCCATTAAATAGAGAACTGGATTTATTGAAAATCCTCTGTAATTCAAACACATGTCAATTATCCAGGAATATTTCTTCTCATGGTTTGAAACAATAAAGTCAAATACCACATTATTGAGATAGTGAATTACAGAGTGAGTATGCGAAGTGTAGAGACAATGGGAGTACTGTTCAAAAAGAAGAGTTTTATAAGGTATTCACATTTTAGGATTAAGTGCAATATTTTCATAAGAGATATATGAGTGAGAAAAAAAAGAAATGATAAATAATACATTCAAAATAAATTTAGAAGATTCAAAAGCAGATCAGGTAGGAAAGACAGAAAATACAGGCAATGGTATACTTACCTCCAAAATATCCATACTTCCAGTAAATACAAATGTATTCAATGCTCCATTTAAAGCACAAAGAGTGTTACATTGGATTAAAAAATAACCAATTATATACAGCTAAGTCATAATAATAGAAAAAGGTTAAAAATAAAGTGACGAAAAAATTATTCTATGCAAGTAGTTACATAAAGAAAGATACCACGCCAACATCAGACAAAATAGACTAAAGGCACAAAAAAATTACTACAAAATGTCCATCATAAAGACAGAAATTTCAGTTCACTAAGAATAGATAACAATTTAAAATGTGTATATTTATTATATATATATCTGTATGTAATATATAATCTATATGTAATACAGATTATGTGTCTGTATATTTTTATTTATAATAAAGCTTTAGAAACATAATTAACTTCACCTAATGGAGAATACATACACAAACACGTTGTATATGCTATGTATACCTATATGTATATATGATACACTATATAGCATGTATTTCTATGGTCAATTGAATAAATATTAAACAACCAGAGAAATTTAATTAAAAATCATTATATGATATTCTTACTACAAATCCTCACTTTTCTGGCAGTTCCAAGTGTCATAATTTGAGATGAGTTTTATAAGGTTTAAACTTTTTCTTTACATGAAAGATTTCATCTGATATCCATTTTCTCAGCTACAAGTATAGAGGCTCTTAATCCAATAAAAAGTAAAACAGCTGGATTGTAAAACCTCTGGATTATTAATGTATACCAAGAACAACTTAGTTTCCATTCAGCTTTACAACAACTTAAGCAAATACACACAATTTAAACAAATGATCAAACCGTCCTCCCCTTGCCCACCCCACCTCCAATCTTCTGGTGCATTTTCAAAATGGACTATGAAATTAAGCATAAAAATCATCGGAGTGCTCTCCTCAAAGTATGTGGAAGACTCTTGTTACTGAACACATACACCTAGAAAGTTGTAATTAGGGACTTCCCTGGTGGCGCAGTGGTTAAGAATCTGCCTGCCAATGCAGGGGTCATGAGTTCGACTCCTGGTCCGGGAAGATCCCACATGCTGCAGAGCAGCTAAGCCCGTGCACCACAACTACTAGAACCTGCGAGCCACAACTACTGAGCCCACGTGCCACAACTACTGAAGCCTGCGCACCTAGAGCCTGTGCTCCACAACAAGAGAAGCCACCACAATGAGAAGCCCGTGCACCGCAACAAAGAGTAGCCCCTGCTCACCGCAACTGGAGAAAGCCTGTGTGCAGCAACAAAGACCCAACGCAGCCAAAAATAAATAAATAAAACAAATAAATTTATTTAAAAAAAAAGAAAGTTGTAATTAGATTTTACTGTACTAAGGGTATTAATATTTTTAAAATATTAAAACATTTTTAACAACATATATGATTGATTTAAAAGTTAAACTAATTAGAAAGTAATAATTCAAAAATAAGGAAAGAAAATAGAAAGAAACCTGGACCAGGTAGGAAAAATACAAAGCGCCCAAAAAAGGAAATATTTAAATCTAAATATATTAGTAAGTACAGTAATTATAAGTGGATTACATGTTGTAGGGAGAGACAAAGAGAGTCACACTGGATTTATAAGCAATTTAACTATAATTTATTTATGAGAGGTCACTGAATTATAAGAATATAGAAAATTGTAAAGTAAGGAAGTGAAAAAAGATATGCCTGCAAATACTAACCAAAATAAATCTGCAGGAGTTATGTCAATGTCATACAAAATAGGATTTTAGTCAAACGACCTTACTGGAGACAGGCTAAGATGGTACCTTTTATAAAAAGAAAATGTTGAGTCCATAAGGACTATCAAATATTTTTTTTTGTATACACCTAACAACATAGACAGTATAAGGAAAAAGGACAATACTACAAGAAGAAATAGATAAATCCACAATCATAGTGGGAGAATACATTCACTCCATAATCGACAAACAAAATTCAAGAAAATCAAGAAATAGGAATTTAAATAACACAGTAAAAATTTGACTTAGATGTCTGTAAGCTCACACATTCATGAATATAATTCTGCTTAAAACAATTAAAATGTAAAATAATTTTATAATACTCATAATTCAGTATTTACAACTTGAGTCTTTTCTTTCTAGCAGTTCCAAATGTCAGGCAAAAGACTTTCATCTGGTACCTCTTCCATTTTCTGAGCTTCAGGAAGAAAGGCTCACAAAAGCACTAAATAGAGAACCAGATCTGTGGTGGAACCTCTATATTTACAATATATGTTAGTTACCCAACAATATTTTATCTCATCTTTTAATGATATATACAAATCACTATTTGAAGTGTAAACATCATGTGAACACAACACTTTTCACACATGTATATATAAGCAGTTGTTACTTTTCAGATATACAGAAGCATTAAATGTATTTAATTTTGAAATATTATTATAAACATTATTATAAATACTTATGTTTTAAATTATTATTTTGTTTTACAGTATTCATATTTTTGAATAAAGTTTAAATTTTTGGTATTAAATATGGCTAATGAAAAATATATATAATGATAAAAAATAGAGTGAAAGAGTGAAAGAAACATCAGATACAAAAAGTGGTGGAATATAAAATGGTGGAATTACACTTAAAAATATCAATAATTGGTTTATATATGATTATGAGAGGTAATTAAAAGATCAGGCTGAATTCTAAAATATAGACAATTATAAGTTTCTTACAAACGATAGCGCAAAATAATAAATACACAGGAAAATTAAAGTAACATGATAAAAAAAAAATGTATCACGCAAATACCAACCAGAAGAAAATTTATGGAGCTACCCTGATAGCAGATAAGGTAGTTTTAAAGGAAAATAAACAAATAAAAACTATAAAAATGATGAAGTGGGTCTCTTCATTAGGACAAAATGTTCTGTCCCCCAAGAATGTTATCAATTTAAAATTTATATGCACATAAATAATAGAGTATCATAAGATATAAACCAAAGCTTGCCACGACTAAATAGAAAAATCCACAAAGTGTAAGATTTAACATATCTAATTCAGTGATTATAAAAGAAACAGATAAATCATCAATAAAGATCTAAAGTATGATGGGAATAACTACTAAAGAAGCAAATAGTTGAAGATATATTCATGAACAAAAAAGTGTTCTGAATTTAATTAAAAACAATTTATAAGATTTATGTTTAATTACTTACTATCAAGATTCTCCTGTCTGATAGCTCTAAGGTTCTTAGTTTGAGATTGGTTTCTTGAAAAAAAACCTTTCTTCTCAGGAGGTAGATTTTCAAGTGTTATCGTATCGTTTTTCTCGTTTTGAAGAGGAAATGCTAAGTAGAAAATGATACATGTATAATGGAACTTCTGGATATGCCAAATAATCAAATTTTCTTTCCATAAAGGTGAATTGAGAAAAATCATGTGAATAGTTTTCATGAGTGTGTGTGGAAGTAGTCAGTCTTGTTACTTAGTAATTATTGACTGCGCAAATACCAACCAAAAGGTATCATTACTTTTGCTTTTGTTCTCTAATTATCTTAGGGTATTCACACTTTAGGTCATTTAGTTTTACTTCTATGAAATATATGCTCAAATACATATTCATGAACCAAAGGAAAAAAAATCTTCTGATGAGTTTAATTTAAAATGACTTAAAGTTTCCTTTTATTATACTTACTATCGCGTCTCTCCTGTCTGGAAGTTATCTGTTTCTTTACTTGCAATTGGGGTTTTGAAACTGAAACTTGTTTCACAAGCACAGGATTTTTATCTGGTACTCCATAATAACCTATATAAAGAGATGCATTTAGTCCATTAAATGTCCAATCTCTAGATTTCAAATTTATAACAAGTGTACAGTAGCATTTTGTCTCATTTTTATAAAGTCATAAGTCAATTATTATAATGCTAGATCTGTCATAAAACTGGATGATGCTGAAGCTGTCTCATTATTTCATAAATATTCCTAAGCAACAAATACATTTCATATTGGTCTTCAGGTTTCATGGGTTATTTATGCTTTAGTTTAATACATAATAATAGACCAAGCAATGAAAATGCCTATGCAGAAGATCATTCATTAATTGCAAAACACTTACAACCATCTACATGTTCAAGCACAGGACATTGGTTGAATAAACTGATATATATACCACAACTATGGTATTGGTATAAGTACTGCTACAATGGTAGATAATTAAATAGATAAGATAGTATATAAACATCTGTACGCAGAGTGAGATATTCCCCTCTGTACTAATACATCAGATGTTTGCTGGATGACGTTTCATGGGGAAATGAAAGACTAGTTGAAACACTGGTGGAGCTCATGCCCTTTCGTGTTTAGACTCATATTATTGCAGTAAGTGAATAAAGGCTTGTTATTTTCAGTTTGGTTCATTTGGTTCGTTGTCTTTATAGACCACTGGTAGCTCTCTCTCAGTGACAAATGGTGGCAAGCAGGGTGGCCCAATTAAGCACAATGCCTTTCTGGGAAAGTAAAATGCATGAAGGCCCCCCAGGGCATTTTGGGCATTTTGGGGAGATGCTTGAGAAGACTACAAGGCTTCTTGGGAAGTACTAGCTGGTCATTTGCAGGAGTCTGAGGGTCCTAAAATGCACTTTGCCAGCCACAGCAATGAGTCTCAGGAAGTGCTGTCAAGAATGCCCTGGGGCACTGCTGGAGAGGGCTAGCAGATTGTTTATGCAAGCTTTGGGGGTTAGAGGGGTAACAGTGGTCCTTCTCTTTAGTCCCAGACTCCCTGCCAAAATGCCTGGTGGGTCAAATTAGGGATCCAACAGAGGGGCTCTGGGAAATCTAGGGAAGCAATTCCCTGGCTACTGCTATTGTCCTCTGATGATAGTACTAAGTACAAGCTAAGCTGCACTCAACCATTGCTGTCAGCTTTTTTTTTTTTTCCGATACGTGGGCCTCTCACTGTTGTGGCCTCTCCCGTTGCGGAGCACAGGCTCCGGACGCGCAGGCTCAGCGGCCATGGCTCATGGGCCCAGCCGCTCCGTGGCATGTGGGATCTTCCCGGACCGGGGCACGAACCTGTGTCCCCTGCATTTGCAGGCGGACTCTCAACCACTGCGCCACCAGGGAAGCCCTGCTGTCAGCTTTAATGAGGTCCCAGACAACGATGGACAGCCTACAATATAGTAAGTTATTGAGACTCATGATTTAATTAAATAAATATAGAACTCCTTGGGATTGCTTTGCCCAGTGATGTAAAGAGACCTTAGAGACCTGGGCTGTTCACTTGCATGATGAAGGAGGTCATCTTAAACTTCGTGAGGGACTATGATACTTTGTGGGCTGTGGTCACTCTAAGACCCCTTTTTAAGTCTGCCCTGACAGCAGAAAGTTTGCTCAAGGAGGAGGAAGAAAAAGGGAAGATGAGAGGCAAATACCAAGACGCTCTCCTTCCTCAGCTGGGAACTGTTCATGCTCTGACGGCTTTCCGCCTGAACCTATCACTAAAATCATGTTTGGACCACCAATGCAGAGTCTAGAGCAGCCCTGTTAATCATGCTATGATAATGAGTAAGAACAGTAGATAAGATTGTTAACCAGCTCACATTTCTAGGTTTATTTGTGCTACTCCTGCTGGTTATCGAACTAAATCAAACTTCTTCATCAGGTCAGGTGACAATGTTCTGCAACAAAATCCAGAACCTAACGGGCATATTTTCAGGTACGGAGAAAACAGCTTCTGCCCAAATAGTGAAGACTGACTGACAAAGAGAGCAATATAAAACGGTAACCATGTGCTCTCCCCTGGATGATGCTTCTAGAGAAGCCCTCTGAGTCTGGTTATTCAAAGAGGAGATTGATGACCAGATATTAGGCTATAAGGGCCACAAAAGGTAGCCCCATTAGGGTCTGCATGTTAACAAGTGCTATGATTAATGAAAGTGTTATCCCCTCGGCTTCTCCCTGTGAATATGAAGATGAACAGGTGAGCCCTTCTAACGTGTACTGCGAACTCTCAACTTTCAACAACAAAGGCCAGGTCCCAATATCCCCAGTAGGGACCAGAGGTTGTATCCCAGGGTCAGAGTTCAATGGGGAGGTAGGGAAGAATTATATTTCTGGGCCTTTTGGATACTAGCACAGAGGCGACTGTGACGCACAAACCCCATCAGCAGAATGAGGGGAAAACAAATAATGTCTCTGATTTTGGGTCTGAGGTCACTACCAGTTGGACCCTTACCTAGACCCACTGTGGATGGGTCTCTGTGGCCAACTCCAAACTCCAAATAAAACCTTTTTATGGCATTCACTACTGAATGTATTACCAATATAGATGTATTGTCTAAGTGAACACCTGCTCACATTTGCCCACAAGCGCCGAAGAAAACTGCTCCAGTTAACACAATTTTAGTGCGGTATATGGAAGACCACAAACCTCCCTGACTAGCAGCCCCTAGTGCTGTTGTTTCTCAAAAATAGTAGCAACTGCCTAGAGTGAAAAAGAAAAAAGCAATGCCTTCATTGCTGAGTTTAAGAACAACAAAGTTCTTCATGAGACTAATTCTCCACTCAATAGCCCTATCTCACCTGTGCACATGGCCTTAGGGGCACGGAGTCTCAAGGGATTATCGGCAGCTCAACACTGTAGCAAAACTCTAAGCACTGGCAGTACCTGACTTTGAAACTGTCACAGAGGCTACTGCCCAAGATAAAGAAACTTGGTGTTCAACAAATGACATCACTGTCCACGTGGATAATCCAGGATCAGTTTATGTGGAATGGGGTGCAATATACGACTAATGTCCTTCCACAAGTCCTAAATTCCCCTACTATTTGTCATCAGATATAATAAGACCTAGAAAAAGTCTGGCTACTGGAAGGAACACTAGCCTTCCACAAAACTGAAGATGTCTTCCTGGTGGTCCCAGACAAGGTCATTACCCAATAAGGACTGGTCACTCTGCAGACTCACATGGGGCAACAGACTCACATGGGGCAACATGACTGAGCCATTAACACAAGGTACCAGGATCTATCATCCAAGTGAAATTCCTAGGCATGATCTGGAAAGGGTGACAACATCCTATTCCAGAGGAGATGATTGCCAATATTTGATCCTCTCAACTCCCCCAAATAAAAAAGAGATCCAGCAATTGGTTGTACTTTTCTGGTACTGGCACTTTCCACGCAGGGAACTTGATGGCACCTATCTATGAGGTTACCAAGACGACCTCGCCCTTGTGTGGGGCTGGATTAACAGAATACGCTGGTGCGGGTGCGGGGAGTCTCTAGCAAGCCTCCCAGGCTGCCCCTCCCCTAAGCCTCTCTGATTCCTATTTGCTGTTTTAGTTACAGATCTCAAAAACTTCTCGGTTTGTCAATTGGCGCCTATGGCAGAGTGGCCCTGATACTGGTCAGAAGTGCCCACTGGGCATAATTTCCTGGAACCTGTAATCGCCCAGAATCATCTAAAAGGTACACACACTTTGAGATACTATTGGACAGTTATTGGTCCTTGGTGGATACTGAGTGCATGTCCTATGGCTGTTAAATAATCTTATGACTAGAAATTCCAATCTGAAGGTATTAACACTTTTGATTTTGTTCTCTAGTTATCTTAGGGTATTCACAGTTTAGGTCATTTATTTTTACTTCTATAAAATATACACTCAAATACATATTCATGAACCAAAGAAAAAAGATCTTCTGATGAGTTTAAAATAATTTAGAGTTACCCATAATTATTATACTTACTATGACTCCTCTCCTTTCTGTAAGGTATTTGTTTCTCTACTTGCATTTGGGGTTTTGACACTGAATCTTGATTTACAAGCATAAGGTTTTCACCCAGTACTCCGATATGACCTACATAAAGAGATCCATTTAGTCCACTAAATGGGAAAACAGATCCATTGTGAAATCTCTAGATTTCAAATTTATAACAAGTGTACAGTAGCATTTTCTCTCATTTTTAAAGTTATCAATGAACTGCCATAATGTTAGGTCTTACACGAAAATAAGAAAAGTTTTAATGGGTGTTACTGAAACTGTCTCATTATTTCATAGATATCTTGAGGAAGCAAATATATTTCATACTAATCTCTACTTTTGGGGTATGTATACATTACATAAATACACAATAGTAGATGAAACAATAAAAATACATATGTACAAGGTTGTTCATTACAGTATTATTTGTAATTGCAAAATATTTTAAACCACCTAAATGTTCAAGAATAGGATATTGGTTGAATAAACCAAGGTGTATACAATAAATTACAGTATAGTATAAACTATGGTATATAATGTGGTGCTATTTTACATATTTATGTAAAAATTTTTAAAAGATTTTTATAAACTACATGGAGGAATTTCTAGGAGGTAATGTTAAGTGGAAAAAAATTTTTAAAGGTTATCTAGTACACTAACTTTTGGCTCAGAAAGCAGTGATCGGAAGAAATGAGAAATAGATATTAACTTTACAAGATGAAGCACAGAAAAGATAAGCAAAAAAATCATGTAGTTGGTTACCTGCCAGAAGACAGGGTGGGAGAAAGGACTGGGGAATGCATGGGAAGGACTGGGGAAGAAACGACGCTCTTAAGTATACCTTTGGTATAATATTTACTTCTGGAAGTAGGTCAATGTTCCATACATTCCAAAAATAAAACTAAATCAACAAGGATAAGAAGAAGAAATGAAAAAACATAATGAAATGAACCTACTGAAGGGTGGAAAAAAAAAACTGATTCAAATTAGTCATAAATAGTGTTTGAAACATACCCTCAGACTTGGGCAAGAGTATGGGGTACAGACAGAAAGCAAATCACTAAATCTTCCTAGTAGGCTTTTTTTTTAGTGGTATGTGCTAAGTAATTCTGTAACAAGGGTTGAAGCATTGTAGAGTTAAGCAAATACATAACTCTGCTGATGTTTTAAGAGTCAGGATTAACACCCTGGAAGAAAGGACATACACATATGAAATGGAGGAAGGCAAGAAGGAGACCTGAGGGACTAGAACTGAAGGTGTCCGAGAGTCCTCATGATTTCTAAAATATATGTGCATATAACATATGCATATATGTGTGCACATGCACATGTATGTGTGTATGAATATATGTACGTGTGTGTCAAAACTAAGGAGTGTGGATCCAAGTGAAAATCCTATGTGTCATCTTACCTGGCAGTTACCATGGGAGAAAGCTTCCTACCCACACTAGACCGACTGCACAGCCAGTATATTCATGGGTTCAGGCCCCTCCAGGCCAACCACAGTCTTACACAGCCCCAGTCAAGGGCTCAAATGATACACTGTACTGTTCAGGTGACTCTGCTTTGACAACCTTACTGGGGAGCCTTGAAGACAATTTTCTCCTATCTGACGCAGTTTTCACTACTTTTCCATTCCTAGACCTTCCTGCATTCCCTACCTCCTGGGTCCATAAAATGGCAAGAGCCTTTAGTTTAGGGCTCCTTTGGCAATGAGACAACCCCCCAACCATTTCTGATAAAACATCTCTTACCTGGGGCCTTCAGTGGGGAAAAATGGAATAATAAAGCTGGGACCTTTCCTGTTTAGACTCATACTTATGCTATCACAGTAATCGAATAAAAGTTTAATTGTTATTTTCAGTTTGGCTTGTTATAATTGACCAACTCAACAACTGGCAGTGCTTTCTCTGACAAATTGGTGCAGTGAGCAGGATGGATAGTACAGGCACACCTTGGAGATGTCACGGGTTCAGTTCCAGACCCCCGCAACAAAGCGAATATTTCAATAAAGCGAGTCATACGAATTTTTTGGTTTCCCAGTGCACATATAAAAGCTATGTTTACACGATACAGTAGTCTATTAATTGTGCAACAGCATTATGTCTATAAAAATCAATGTACATATCTTATTTTAAAAATACTTTATGGCTACAAAATGCTAGCCATCATCTGAGCCTTCAGCTAGTCCTAATCTTTTTGCCACTGAAGGGTCTTGCCTCGATGTTGATGGCTGCTGGCTGATCAGGGTGGTGGTTGCTGAAGGCTGGGGTGGCTGTGGCGATTTCTTAAAATAAGACCACAGTGAAGTTTGGCTCATTGGTTGACTCTTCTTTTCATGAATGATTTCTCTGTAGCATGCAATGCTGTTTGATAGCATGCAGAACTTCTTTCAAAATGAGAGTCAATCCTCTCAAAAGTTGCTGCTGCTTTATCAACTAAGTTCATATAATATTCTAAATCCCCTGTTGTCATTCCAGCAATCTTCACATCATCTTCACCAGGAGTAGATTCCACCTCAAGAAACCACTTTCTTTCCTCAACCATAAGAAGCAACTCTTCATTCATTAAAATCTTCTCATGAGATTTTAGCAATTCAGTTGCCTCTTCAGTCTCTACTTCTAATTCTAGTTTTCTTGCTATTTCCACCACATCTGTAGTTGCTTCCTCCACTGAAGTCTTGAATTCTTCAAAGTCATCCATGAGGGCTGGAATCAACTCCTTCCAAACTTCCCTTAATGTTGACATTTTGACCTCTTCCCAAGAATCGTGAATGTTCTTAATGGCATCTAGATTGGTGAATCCTTTCCAGAAGGTTTTCAATTTACTTTGCCCAGATCCATCAGAGGAATCACTATCTATGGCAGCTATAGCTTTACAAAATGTATTTCTTAAATAATAAGACTTGAAAATTGAAATTACTCCTTCATCCATGGGCTGCAGGATGGATGTTGTGTTAGCAGGCATGAAAACATTAATCCTGTTGTACAGCTCCAGAAGAGTTCTTGGGTGAACAGGTGCGTTATCAGTGAGCAGTAATATTTTGAAATTTTCTGAGCAGTAGGTCTCAACAGTGGGCTTAAAATATGTAGTAAACCATTTTGCAAACACATGTGCTATTATTTGGACTTTGTTGTCCATTTACAGATCACAGGCAGAGTAGATTTAGCATAATTCTTAAGGGCCTTAGGATTTTCAGAATGATAAATGAGCATTGGCTTCAACTTCAAGTTACCAGCTGCATTAGCCCCTAACAAGAGTCAGCCTGTACTTTGAAGTTTTGAAGCCAGGCATTGACTTCTCCTCTCTAACTCTGAAAGTCCTAGATGGCATCTTCTTCCAATAGGGGGCCGTTTCATCTACATTGAAAATCTAATGTTTAGTGTAGCCACCTTCATTAATTATCTTAGCTAGATCTCCTGGGTGACTTGCTGCAGCTTCTACGTAAGCACTTGCTGATTCCCCTTGCACTTTTGTGTTATGGAGATGGCTTCTTTCCTTAAACACCATGAGACAACTTCTGCTAGCTTCAAACTTTTCTTCTGTAGCTTCCTCACCTCTCTTGGCCTTCACAGAATTGAAGAGAGTTAGGGCCTTGCTCTGGATTAGGCTTTCGCTTAAGCAAATGTTGTGGCTGGTTTCACATCTTCTGTCCAGACCACTGAAATTTTATCCGTATCAGCAATAAGGCTGTCTCGCTTTCCTATTATTTGTGTGTTCACTAGAGTAGCACTTTTAGCTTCCTTCAAGAACTTTTCCTTTGCATTCACAACTTGGCTATAGTTTGGAGCAAGAGGACTAGCTTTTGGCCTTTCTCAGCTTTCGACATGCCCTCCTCACTTAGCTTAATCACTTCTAGCTTTTGATTTAAACTAACGTGCAACTCCTCCTTTCAGTTGAACATACAGAGGCCATTGTAGGGTTATTAATTGGCCTAATTTCAATATTGTTCTGTCTGAGGAAACAGGGAGGCTGGAGGAGAGGGAGAGAGATGGTAGAGCAGTCAGGACACACGTAACACTTATCAATTAAGTTTGCCATCTATATGCGTGTGGTTTGTGGTGTCCCAAAACAACTACAATAATAACATCAAAGCTCACTGATCACAGATCACCATAACAAATATAATAATAATGAAAAAGTTTGAATATTGTAAGAATTACCAAAATGTGACACAGAGACATGAGGTGAGCAAATGCTTTTGGAAAAACGGCACCGATAGACTTGCTTGATGCAAGGTTGCCACAATCCTTCAATCTGTAAAAAATGCAGCATCTGCGAAATGCAATAAAATGAGGTATGCCTGTCAAGCACAGTGCCTTTCTAGGAAAGCAAAACTCTGAAGATCCCATGGGGCACTTTTGAGAGGTGTTAGAGAGGTCCATCAGACACTCTCAAGTGATACTAATGGATCACATGGGTGCTTCATCAGTCATGCTAATGTGTCTCAAAAAGGACTAGTGGACCCTGGGGTTTCTTTGGGGAGTGCTAGTGACTTTTTACATAAGCTTTTCAGGTATAAGGGGGAACAGCGGTCCTTCCATTTAGTTTCCACCCCCTTGCCCAAACTTGACTCAACTCCATGAGTCAAATTACAGATCCAAAAGAGACACTCATAGGGAAGCAATTCTCTAGCTACTGATGGGAACAAAATTCGTTCCTCCAGTGATGGGAACAAAATTTGTCAGAGACCCTGAATTGCATCCCAGTACTACTGTTAACTGTAAGCATGTCCCTGGCACCAAAAGACAGCCTAAAACAAAGTGAATTTTTGTTGGGACTTATGCCTAAAATGTAAAATAATGAAGAGCCTTTTGGGATTACTTCACCCCAGCAATCTGAAGCTCTCAGAGACTTGGGTAGTTTGCCTCCAAGATGGAGGAGGTAATCTTGTTTTACTTACTAAGGGAATGGTACCTCTGGTATGTGACCCCCACTTTCAGAGTACAAGACAGCAGCTACTTTGCCTAAAGAAGAAGATGGCACTGGGATGAAAGGATACAAGCACTCAAGATCATCTGGGCTCTGAGAGATTTGACCCCATGCACCATGAGTTCCTTGCCACTAAACAGCATGGTTGAATTATACTTCCAGTG